GGGATTTGGGGGGCGCGGGATTTGGGGTGGTTGGGCCGGGCGCGGTGAGCTGCGGTGGGTGCGGGCGCCGACACACAGCGGGGCGGGCGAGGGATCGGTGTCGCGGTGGGGTGGGGGGTCGCGATCGGCGCGCGGGGAATTGAGGAGGCGCCGGCGCGGGGTGTCGGTCGGCGAGTGGAGTGTGGCTTACTCCTTACCGAGCAGTGAGGAGGCCGGCGGGTGGGGCGGTTGGTGGGAGCTCGTGGTCGCTCTCGCTCGCGGTGGGGGAGAAGCGGCCAGAGAGAGAGAAGGGGAGGGCACCACCGCCACCACCGCACCAGCGTGGAAACGGGAGGGAGGGAAGGAGGGAGGGAGATCGTTGCGTACTTGCGTTGGATCGGGGCTTTTCTCCCCACCACTTTAGTTTATTAGTAGTTTATATATCCTTTTTCTATGTTTGTTTGATCAAAAAACAAAACCAAAATGAGCTGGAACGATCCGCATCACCATTCATTAAGGAATTGTTAGATGGCGTTGCATGAGTCGCACATGGCGATTGCGAAAGGGTGGTTTGTACTCTAAGATGGGAGTAGATCTGGATGTTGGGGAAATGCTGACGGGGTTAGCTTGATGGGCCTATAATCAGCTAGTGCATTTTTTAGGGCTATAATCAACTACAGTGACAAACCATGGCGATTAGATGGGACTCTAGTCTAAGGTGAAGAGGGAAACGGGAGGGAGGGCCTCTTCGGGTTTATTTAATGAACTTCACATCTATATTTTAGGAGGAAATTTCTAATCTATTAATCTTCGATCATGGCTGAAAGTGCAACTATCCCTGGGTGATTTTGGTAATTCCTAAAAACATATAGCTCATTAAGCTAATGCTATTTTAAAATAAATATTTCAGGAAAGCTCAATGTTTGTCATGGCATGGATGAGAAACGTGGACTCCTCAAAATGCTAAGGACAAAATGATTGACTCAATCTGAAAGCACAAGACTCTACATTTTACTTTTAGTGATCCAAGATCGCATTGAGTCCATAGGAAATCCAATACTATTAAGAGGGGGTGAGGTGTTGTTTAATGGCTTGCTTGCTCAAAGTGCTTAGTGATATGCTCCAAAGCCCTCAACTACTTTCTCACATCCACATATGTCCCAAACCAAAAGTCAAACTCGGCCCCACCGACTCTTTCTATCCGGCGCCACCGAGTTCAATTGACATAGCCACTGCCAGAAATCCTAGTCTTTTTGGTCTCACCGATAGGGACCTCGGTCTCACCAAGATGGATTGTAATCTTTCTGTTTCCCTTCGTAACGTTTTGGTCAAACCGAGATGAGCGATCGGTCTCATCGAGATTGCAATGCAAACTATATGTTTCCCTTTCGTAATGTTTCGGTCCAACCGAGATGAGCGAATTGGTCCCACCAAGTTTGCCTGGCCAACTCTTTGTTCGGCTATTACCAAAATCGGTCTCACCGAGTTTGTGTAATCGGTCTCACCAAGATTACGTTATGCCCTAACCCTAATGATATCGGTCCCACCGAGTTGACATGTCGGTCCCATCGAAATACCTAACGGTCATATTATGAACTAAATCGGTCTAACCGAGTTTAACGATTCGGTCCCATCGAGTTTGGTAAGTTGTGTGTAACGGTTAGATTTTGTGTGGAGGCTATATATACCCCTCCACCCACTCTTCATTCGTGGAGAGAGCCATCAGAACATGCCTACACTTTCAACATACATTTTCTGAGAGAGAACCACCTACACTTGTGTTGAGGTCAAGATATTCCATTCCTACCACATGAATCTTGATCTCTAGCCTTCCCAAAGTTGCTTTCCACTCAAATCTTCTTTTCACCAGATCCAAATCCTATGAGAGAGAGTTGAGTGTTGGGGAGACTATCATTTGAAGCACAAGAGCAAGGAGTTCATCATCAACACACCATCTATTACCTTTTGGAGAGTGGTGTCTCCTAGATTGGTTAGCTGTCACTTGGGAGCCTCCGTCAAGATTGTGGAGTTGAACCAAGGAGTTTGTAAGGGCAAGAAGATCGCCTACTTCGTAAAGATCTACCCTAGTGAGGCAAGTCCTTCATGCGCGACGACCATGGTGAGATAGACAAGGTTGCTTCTTCGTGGACCCTTCAGGGGTGGAGCCCTCCGTGGACTCGCGCAGCCGTTACCCTTCGTGGGTTGAAGTCTCCATCAACGTGAATGTACGATAGCACCACCTATCGGAACCACGACAAAAACATCCGTTTCTCCTATTGCGTTTGCACTCTTCAAACCCCTCCCTTTACATTCTTGCAAGTTGCATGCTTTACTTTCCACTGCTTATATACTCATTGCATGCTTGCTTGAATTGTGTTAAGATTGCTTGACTTGTGCTAAGTTGCTAAAATCCGCCGAACTAAAATTGGAAAAAGGCTAGATTTTTATTTGGTCAAGTAGTCTAATCACCCCCCCTCTAGACATACTTTCGATCCTACAATTAGTATCAGAGCTTTGGTCTCCGTTTGCTTTGATTTCCATAGCTTTTGGTGGTTATAGCCTTGGTTTCACAACCTAGGAGAGTATGGCATCTAGCAAGGGAAATTACCACCGTAAAGGTCCTTACTTTGATGGTACTAATTTTGCTAGTTGGAAGCATAAGATGAAAATGCATATTCTTGGACATAACCCCGCCGTTTGGGCTATTGTGTGTATTGGCTTGCAAGGTGAATTCTTTGATGGGAGAGAACTGAAACGCGAAGCTATCGCAAAAGAGTTGAAGATGCTGCAATACAATGTTCAAGCTTGTGATATTCTCTTCAACGGATTGTGCCCCGAAGAATTCAACAAAATTAGCCGTCTTGAGAATGCAAAGGAAATTTGGGATACTTTGGTTGATATGCACGAAGGTACCGACTCCGTCAAGGAGTCCAAATTGGATGTGCTTCAATGTCAACTTGACAAGTTCAAAATGAAGGATGGTGAAGGCGTCGCTGAAATGTACTCTAGGCTTGCTCTCGTCACAAATGAGATTGCCGGCTTAGGAAGTGAAGAGATGACCGATAAATTCATCATCAAGAAGATCCTAAGAGCCTTGGATGGAAAACATGATACCGTGTGCACATTGATCCAAATGATGCCCAATTACAAAGATCTCAAGACAACGGAAGTCATTGGGAGAATTGTTGCTCATGAGATGTCACTTAAGGATAAGGAAGAGCTCCACAACAAGTCAAGTGGTGCTTACAAAGCCTCATGTGAAGCTCCCACATCATAAAGTGAGAAACAAGCCTTCAATGAAGAATTGAGCCTAATGGTGAAGAACTTCAACAAGTTCTACAAGAGTAGAAGCAAGGAAAGAAGTTCCAAGTCAAGGTCCTACAATGAAAAAAGATCTTCTAGTCGTGAGCGTAATTGCTACAATTGTGGAAGACCTGGACACTATTCCAATGAGTGTACGGCTCCCTACAAAAGAAGAGAAAATTCTCCAAAAAGAAGAAGTAGAAGAGAAGAATCACCACCAAGAGAGAGGAAGAGTAGAGATGAACGAAGAACATCCCGGAGAAGCAAGGATTCAGAAAGGAAGGACAAATCATCAAACAACTACACAAACGAAGACATCAAGATCATGTTGGTGAATGGGTATCCGGCTCCGACTCCGACAATCACTCCAAGAGAAGCTATCACTCCGACTCCAAATATACTCAAGATGAAGGTGTTGCCAGTCTAGCACTTGTGTCAACCAACTCCTACGACATATTTGACTCACCAAATGAAGGAATTGGAAGATGCTTCATG